CTTCTCTGAGTACTCTTTATTTTCTTCTCCGAGGCTATGGGTCCCTACACTTGCACCAGAGGTGGTACCCCTTATAATAAAAATATATATATATATATATAATATATATATATATATATATATATATATATATATATATATATGTCCTCATAGACAACAAGCTGAATTTTCAGGGACACATTCTAAATATAGCAAAAAAAGTTTCTAAAACTGTTGACATTCTTTCTAAGATCAGATATTATGTACCTCGCCTGCCCTGGTGACGCTCTATTACTCTCTCATCTATCCTTATCTCAACTATGGTATTTGTGCTTGGGGTTCTACTACCCAAAATCATTTACGTCCTCTAATTACCAAACACAAAACTGCTATTAGAACAATATCTAACTCTGGCCCCAGACAGCATTCGGTACCCTTACTTAAATCTCTGAATATGTTAGATATTAAGTCACTGCACATCCTCTCATGTGTACTCTATATATTTAAAACTCTGAACTGTAATGTCAATCCTGACCTTAAAAGCTTCTTAGAAGGTTGTAACAGAACCCATGGGCACCACACCAGAAACAAATATCTATTTGATATTCCAAGAGTACGACTTAATCAAAGTAGAAATGCTCTACAAACCAAGGGACCCAGAATGTGGCGTCAGACCAAAATAAAAATGAAAAGTTAATTTTGGAGAATTAATTTTTCAATTACCCTTGATAGTGAATAAAAACGTAAGAAATATTGAGAAAATTCGTGTTAGAATTATTAATCTTACCCTTTCGGTCATATTCAACAACATATGTTTACAAGAAAGACTGCTACAATATATATATATATATATATATACAGCCCGTCCCAATACATATATATATATATATATATATATATATATATATATATATATATATATATATATATATATATATATATATATATATATATATATATATATATATATATATATATATATATATATATATATATATATATATATATATATATATCATAGTTATATATATATATATATATATATTATATATATATATATATATATATATATCGATGCGAGAATCAATCGGATCATAGTTGCATATGCATCGTACAAGATTACTTTTCGACTGGACGAAAATAATAAGCTAAAATGGGAATTAGTGTTAAAAAAGATCTCATATAATCTGCGTGTAAAAGACTCCTCCTACTCATGAGACTGGCGCTGTGTTACCCACCGAGCGGGAGGAGGGCGAGGAGCAACAGCAGCAGCAGGCCCGGCACGAGCATGGCTAGTGGCAGCTGGAGAAGCAGTGGGCGAGCTGGCTGCTACTGTGTGTGTGTGTGTGTGTAGCCTTGAAGTGTTCCCACGCCTGCTAGTGTGTGTGTGTGTGTGTGTGCAGCCTTAGAGTGTACCCACACTCCCATACACATGCACCTGCTGCCCTCCCACACATTGTAGACTTTTATACTCGCATCAGTTTTGACCTTGAAATAGAAATATCTACTTTAAAATAAATTAGATTGGGAATTAAAACATAAGTACATAAAATATACACATATTTATGTGTGTAAATAACAAGATTACATTTTGGGAGTTATAGGATGAAACCTACGGCCGTGATGTGCCGTCTTCCCACTACACTTTGTCATATATAACACTTTGTCACTATTGACATAATGAAAAGTCACTTACGCAAACATCTGTTTGCGTAAGGGACTTTTGTTTTGTTTTGTTTATTGCAGCTATGTTTAACTGTCTTAACTACGATCTCTGGTTCTTGAAGTTCCATGTCTAAAAAAAAGCCTTCTCTATCAATTTTGTCGAATCCTGTTACTATTTTGTATGTAGTGATCATATCGCCTCTTTTTATTCTATCTTCTTGCTTTGGCACATTTAACGCCTCTAACCCTCTCCTCGTAACTCTTGTCTTTCAGTTCCAATTTTAGATGATGCAGAGCCATTTAGTGGCATGTCTTTGACCCTTTTCAAGTTTGTTGATGTGCATCTTAAGATATGGGCACCATACAACCGCTGCACATTTCAGCTTTGATCTCACAAAGGTCGTGGAAAAATTTCTTTCCTATTTCGCCATTCGTGTATTTAAAGCAATTCTGAAATTGGAAATTGGAAAGCATGGCATAGGCTCCTCGCACAATATTTTCTATGTGATCTTCAGGTGATAGTCTACTATCTAGAAAACCCGTTCTCGACAGCGTTCCCAACGTCAAGAAAATGTCGTACTAAAGTGCCCTAACGTAACCAACCACAGGACCTACGAGCAGAAAACAGGACATTATATCAATTTCGCGAGCCGCTACCATTTTCTTCTACATCAATTTGTGGCCTTAGGTAAAGTATACGTCAATATGCGACGTACTATGAAGAGAACAGGTTGATCCAGAACCAACCCTAGATATCTTTCTTAATCAGAATTCTTTAAAAAAAAAAAAACTTCACATAATTTGTAGATTGTGTGTGGCCTATTTTCTCCTATTCCCACATTCCACAACATATGTGTTCTTGTTGCAAGAAAATTTGTGGAGTGAGATTATGTTTAGCATGTTAAGGGAGTTAAACAAAGGGGCTGAGTGTTGTCTGAAAGCAGAATTTGTTATTATTCTGATGGCAGATTTTTGCTGGGTGATGATGGACTTGAGGTGGTTTGCAGTGGTTGAACCCCATGCACAGATACCATAATTAAGATAGGGATAGATTAGTGCATAATATAGAGAGATGAGAGCAGAGTTAGGTACATAATATCTGATTTTGGAGAGTATCCCAACTGTTTTAGAGACTTTCTTAGTTATGTGTTGTATGTGGGTACTGAAGTTGAGTCTCTTGTCTAGGAATAGGCCAAGAAACTTTCCATCATTTTTATTGCTAATGTTTACATTATCTATCTGAAGCTAAATTGCATTTGTAGATTCACTTCCAAATAAGATGTAGTAGGTTTTTTATATGTTAAGTGTTAGTTTATTGGTTGACATCCATAAGTGGACTTTTTTTAGTTCATTATTAACAACATCATTTAGTGTATGTGGGTTGAGGTTAGAGTAGATGAGGGTAGTATCATCAGCAAACAAAGTAAGTTTCAGAATGTTAGAGACATTAGGCAGATCATTGACGTATATAAGAAATAGGAGAGGTCCCAATATGCTGCCCTGTGGCACTCCAACGGTTATTGGTAGAGTGGGAGAGATTATATCATTGATGGCTACATATTGGAGTCGGTCACTAAGATAGGATTGGATATAGTCCAGTGCATGGCTTCGAATTCCATAATGATGGCGTTTACGTAAGAGGTAATTGTGCTTAACAGTGTCAAAGGCCTTTCTCAGGTCAATGAAGAGTCCATTCGGAAACTCATTTTTGTCAAGGGCTGAGTAAATTATATCAAGGAGACTAATAATTGCATCGTTGGTACTCTTTTGGGAGCGGAAGCCAAACTGACAGAGGCTAAGAATGTCGAATTTTAAGAGATAGGAGTAGAGCTGTTTGTAGATAATTTTTTCAAATATTTTTGATAGGATGGGTAGGTTTGATATTGGTCTATAATTGTTTATGTCTGCCGGATTACCTCCTTTATGAACTGGCGTTACTCTTGTTTTTTTAAGAATATCAGGGAAGGTATGACACTCAAGGGATTTGTTGAACAGCAGAGCTATAGGTGGCGCAAGGGCATGGGAGGCTCTCTTGTATACAATGGATGGGATTTCACTGATGTTCCCAGCTTTGGTTTTTAGTGAGTGTATGATAGACACAACATCTGTCGGGCTGACTGTTGAAAGAAGAAGAGAGTTTGGATAGCTGCCTGAGAGATATGTGTTAATATGTGTCTGAGTCTGTGGGATTTTACTGGCAAGGTTAGCACCAACCGATGAAAAGAAGCTATTAAATTCTTTTGCCATTTCTAAATCAATTGACGGAGTCAAGCCATCCTTAGAGAGTGTTATCTGGTTGTGGGAGTGCTGTTTTGTTCCTTGGATTAGAGATGGTATTCCATGTGCTTTTCGTATTGCCTTTTGCTTCTTTGAATCTAGTCTCATAATATGAAAGTTTTGTTTTTCTTATGATACTGGTAAGCACTGATGAGTACCTTTTAACTACTTCCTTTGTAACTAGGTCAATCCTAAATTTCTTTTCATATTCATGTTTTTTGTTGATTGATTTGATTATGCCACTTGTGAGCCACGGATTGTTTTTTCTTTTGTCAGTTACTTGTTTAGTAAGGAGGGGACAGTGAGTGTTGTAGAGGTTTAGAGTTTTGGAGAGAAAGAGGTTAGTTAATGAGTTTATATCCTGTGTATTATTGAATTCACATTCCCAGTTAATATTGTGAAGTGCATTGGAGAGATTACCTAAAGCTGATTCACTGTGTAGCCTGAATGAGAGTTTCTTGCTTTCTGGTGGTATTGTGTCCATGTTTGCTATGAGGAAGGTAGGATAGTGGTCAGTTGTTCTATCATAGATTACCCCAGATGTAAGGAGAGCTGTTATATTAGTCCATAAGTGATCCAAGGAAGTGGCAGATGTTTGAGTGACTCGGGTGGGCTTGGCGATTGTGGGGATTAGCATACAGGAGTGCATGTTGTTACGGAAATAGTCAACTTGAGGGTTATTTTGAAGACCCAGGTCAATATTGAAATCACCTCCTAGAATGATGTGATTTTTGTTGAGATTGTTATTTATGATAGTGAAACACGTTTTATTGTTCCCCCCTCTTTTACCTCTATTTTTATTTGTTCTCAACACATTTTATTCTTTATACCCATTAGTATTAAGCTTTAGTCATTAATGTTTTTCCTGCCCGGAACGCTTTGTGTAATAGTGGCTTTAGGCATTGTATGTACTAGCTCTATCTATTAATCCAACAAACTTTGTAAAATCTCTTGTATGTATGTACCTTACCTAAATAAACATTTATTTATTTATTTATTATTTATTTATATGTGCGTACGGCTGAACGCCATCTGAGAACCGGATTCCTCGCTCGTCAGTCCTTACTCTAAATCCGGATATTCGTTCAAGAACACCACAAATCCTGTTTACAATGCAACTTTTTGTTTTTTTTTTCTTCCCAATATGTGAAACAAGAGGAACAGTTTACAATCAATCGTCACCTGGAATAAGGTTTGGGTAATTAATTTGTTTTTGATCAGTCTAATGTATTGGAGCGGTTCTTTACCGCGATTGTTCAATCATAAAGTTCATGTTCATCACAGATTCACGCGAGAAATGACTGCCACCCTTGATGTTTTGGCTACTAGGATCCTTATCGGTCCGTCTAATTACCGCAAGTTTTCACAAGCTTCACAAAGCTTCCTGGCAATACGTTAGTAATGAATAAATATGATATATTTACTCATTATAATGTTGGTGCTGAATGTACAACACGAAAAAACATAATTTTAATCTGAAAAAGTATCTTTTTTATAAAGAAATTAGACGAAAATAAAGATTTAGATTAGATTAGATTAGGTTAGGTTAGTTTATGTTAGGTCAGCCTAACCTAACATATCATATTTATTCATTATTAACGTATTGCCAGGAAGCTCTGTGAAGCTTGTGTAGCTTGTGGTAGCTTGTGGTAATTAGACGGACCCATCCTAATTTATGTTATGGCTTACTGTCAAGGAATCGTAATCATACTGAGCCTACTCTTGGTTTAAATTTCTTAGTTGTTCAATAGAATTGGAAATTGGGATGATATCTGCTAGCGAAAATTTAATGCACGTTATTTTCTTGCATTACAAAAAAAAATGAATGTCACATGTATCCGGTACACACAACCAGGGTTAATAGTTGTAGCAAGATCAGCCACCAAGTGCCAAATTTGCTGGTAAATGTGCATAAGATGCTAAGCTCTCTGATGTTCCGAACCATAATGAAATCTGACCCAAGTAGCAATTGGGTCAACCCATGTGTTGCGTTTCCACAATATTCACCCAAGTTAAAATCGGCAAATGTCGATTTTATCGTTCAAAATTTTCCCATAGATTTGAAGTCCCCATGGTGCATTGGTAAAACATTGACCTAACCTAACCTAACCTAATGTTAAAAAACTTTGGATTTTTGGTTTAATAAGTTATCAAGGTTTTTCAACAATATTCTTGGGGTGTTCACTGATTTTAACTTGGGTGACCATTGTGGAAATGCAACACATGGGTTAACCCAATTGACAATCTGGTCAGATTCTAACAAGGGCTCGACCATCTACATCCCACATACCAGTGAACATTTAACCCACTGTTGCACATCACCACTACATGGCCATCACCCATCCATGTACACCATGCGTGCATGCACACCATGCATCCATGTACAATATGCATCCATGTACAATATGCATCCATGCACACCATGCATCCATGTTCACCATGCATGCATGTATACCATGCATCCATGTACAACATGCATCCATGTATAACATGCATCCATGTACAGCATGCATTCAAGTGAAGAGCAGAGGTCCCATAGGCACAATCAAAGAACACTGTATAAACATCAAAGGTCCGCGGCTGTTCAACATCCTCCCAGCGAGCATCAGAAATATTGCCGGAACAACTGGGGACATCTTCAAGAGAAAACTAGACTGTTTTCTAAAAGACGTTCCGGACCAACCGGGCTGTGGTGGGTATGTGGGCCTGCGGGTCGCTCCAAGCAACAGCCTGGTGGACCAAACTCTCACAAGTCAAGCCTGGCCTCGGGCCGGGCTTGGGGAGTAGAAGAACTCCCAGAACCCCCATCAACCAGGTATCAACCAGGTATCAAGTACACCATGCACACCATCCACCCACACACACTATCCACTCAGTCATGCACACCACTCACCCATACATGTATGTGACCCACCAATACCCCCACCATTGCATGCCAACCACACGCCTTCCTCTCTTTAAACCACCCACTTTGCACATCATCCACCCTGTACATCACCCACACACCCTACACTCCACATGTTAAAAAATCTTGTGTTCACTACCTCATTGTCTATATATATAAATAAAAATGGAAATGTTTGTGCATAACCGCTAATCTTCGAAAGTTCTTCACCGTTTGCTTTGAAATTTTCACACAACGTTCCACGTTCCATTGGCATCCGAGCAGGTTTTTATATACATACTACTGTATATAGATGTCACGTCTGTGACGGTAAAAAAAAAACATGCTTTTTCTGAAAAACTGTGTTTTTCGGGTGCTTTTCATGTGAGGGAAATCTTTGAAACCTTTTTACCGATTGCTTTGAAATTTTGATACAACGTTGCATTTGAATAGGTGCATCTTTTTATATCTACTATATACATACCTCACCCATGATAGGAAAAAACATGCTTTATTTGAAAAACAGCGCCATCTGTTGGACATATGAGCAACACACTCTGTAATCTCCGAAAGTTCTTCACCGATTGCTTTAATATTTTGACACAACGTTGCATTCGAATAGGCTAGTCTTTTTATATACCTACTATATAGATGCCACCCCTCTGACAGGTAAAAACATGCGTTTTTTTAAAAACGGTGCCATCTGTTGCAAATAATAGCAACATGCACACTATACTAAATGTCACAAATTCCATTTCAATGTTTCCGATTGCATTGATAAATTTTATTTTCATAGATTTCAATTTATTTTATTTTTTATTGAATTATTTTGTGTGACATTGTGTTGGAATTGAGATGTGTTGTTTATCATATCGTTCACTTCATAAGTATAAGTATAGATGCCACACCTGTGACAGGTAAAACTATGCTTTTCTTGAAAAACAGCACCATGTGTTGCATGTAAGAGCAACACACATGCTATACTAAATATGTTACAATTACATTTCAATGTTTCTGATTGCACTGATAAATTGAATTTTCATAGATTTTGATTTATTTTAATTTTGATTTAATTATTTTCTGTGAATTGCGTTGGAATTGAGCTGTGTTGTTTACCATACCGTTCATTTCGTGAGTATAGTTTATTTTTTATTTTTTCATATTTTCATTTAATTTTTTAACTTTCTCTCATATTTCAGTGATGGGAACATCAAATCACTTGATGTTCCCAGTTTTCTGATGGGAACATCAGACCATTTGGGAAGACATCGGACGAGGGAGTGGGGAATGGTGGGAATGACGAGGGGACATTAGTGAGAGATGGTGGGGAGGACGAGGGGACAAGGGAGGGGGTAATGGTGGAGAAGGACGAGGGGATGGGGGAGTTTGGGATGGTGGGGATGGGGGAATGGAGAATGGTGGGGAGGACAAAGGGACAGGGGAATGGAGCATGGTGGAAAGGAAGAGGGGATGGTGGAATGGGGAATGGTGGGGAGGACGAGGGGACGGTGGAGTGGGGAATGGTTGGGAGGCCGAGGAGATGCATGAGGGGGGAATGGTGGGGAAGACTGGGGGACAGGGAAGGTTGCTGTGAACAAATCCACAAGGGCCGTGACGAGGATTCGAACCTACGTCTGTGAGCATCCCAGACGCTGCCTTAATCGACTGAGCTACGACATGGTAAAAGAGTCGAAACCAAAGTTCTACTGAACTTACTGGAGCCTGCAGCCTCTCCAAGACACAACTCAGGGTTTTACACAACTTCCCCATGCACTCGAGCTATGTCAATATGCTGTTCTACCCCTTCCCCTTTCCTTCATTACACACAGAAATCACAATAACGTGATGCATCAATGAACAAATCCACAAGGGCCGTGACGAGGATTCGAACCTACGTCTGTGAGCATCCCAGTCAGCGTCTGGGGATGCTCACAGACGTAGGTTCGAATCCTTGTCACGGCCCTTGTGGATTTGTTCATTGATGTATCACGTTATTGTGATTTCTGTGTGTAAGGTTGCTGTGCCTCAGCAACGCACATGCGTGGCTGAGCCACAGCAACGCGTGGTCAGGTATTGCTAGTATTCAATAAAATGTGGAAATAATTGTCTTACTTTATAGTGTTTTTTATTATTTTGATACCCACTCTTTATCTCCCATCCACAGACACCACCTGCCCACCCCACTTCTTAATGATATTGATATATTATTTAAAGGGCCCTCTATATTACCAATTTTATGTGCTGTAATGGCATAATGGTTAGTTGTGGTCAGCACAGTTGGGTTGCAGTCATAAGGTCCTGGACACTGTGTAAACTTTTGTAAACTGTGTAAACTAAACCTGAATCTTTGGGGAAAAACAGATGTTTGGAAACCATCACCAGTCACCTGACACCTTTATTCCCTTAGTAGCAAATACGTGCCCGGGAGTTAGGTTGGGTTGCATCCTGAGAAAGTTCAGTAACTGGCCTAGTATGCCCTCAATAACCTAACTGGCTTCCTGTCCTCAACTATTTGGGGACCATCAAATGTCAACCATTTGACATTTATTGACCAGTTTTCTGCATGTTTGTGTAAATGTTAGAGCATGCATATAGGCAATACAGTATAGTATAATGTAACTGAATGTGGCCAGATAGGAATTTATTACAGTAATTACTGTATCATATTGTATCATATTGAGTTATGTATTAATTTTAGATGTATATTCTATAATTATTTTTAAATGTGTATCCTTCTTTGATTGGTCTTGCTGATGAAATCTTATCTAACAGAAGTGAGGAATGGCAGCTACATCTGGTAAAAACAACCTACCTGAGCACTGGGTGCAAAAGACCTCCAGTCGCTGTCCCACCGCAACGTATTATTTCAATACCAAGACTGGCAAGTCCTCGTGGATGCATCCAAGCCTTCTGAAAGAAAGCAGTGAAAACTGTTCTGAAGAATCAGAAAAACAAAAATCATCTCCACCAGTGAAAACTAAAAAAGTTAAGATGAAGATACCTAAGCCTAAAGAAGGCCTCATTAATGGGCCAAAGGAAATTAATGGAAAGACAGTATCTATACTTGATATCATCAATACACAGCTTGTCACTCCTCTTAAAGTTAATCCTGTGCCTGAAAACTCTACTGATATTAAATCACATGATGATAAAACAGTAGAGGAACAGAATTGGAAAAATAGGAAACCTGTGAAATTTGTTATAAAAGCACAAACAGAGGGCAAATTTTCAAATGGTCTGAAGGAAGATTCACCTAAAGTATGTAAAAAACCAGTACCAGTTCATTCCAGCTTATTGAGAGCTAGAAAAATTGCTGAAAATGTTAAGTGGCTGAAGAAGACTGTAACTAGTAAAGAAAGTGAAAAGATGCCTCAAGCTGTGAAGTCAGAGGAGAAAACAGTCATATCAGATGATACGTGTAAGGAGAGTAAGAAACAAGTAGACAAAAAAAAAGAATTAATTACATCAACAGAGAAAAGGAACATTTTCAAGGCAAAGAGAAGGACTCGGACTGGCACCAAAAATGCAAAGGAGGATGAAGCTATAATAAGGGATATTATTAAAGAAATAAGCAGCAATCCCATCAGGGATGATGGGGAATGCAAATCATCGAAGAAAAGTAAAAAAGTGAGTGATAATAAAAACATAATTAAAGAACATGACGTGTACAGACATTTTATAAAATGTGAGGAAGAGTCACATCCATCTGTTAAATCTTTACATAAAACTGATGACTTGTCCAAGAAAACTAGGCCCAAGCTATCATCTCTTGATATGATAGCAGGCCTATATAATAGAAAAAGAGTTTGTGAATTTAATACTGAAAATGATAATGATGAAGTTAGTGCTATAAAAGATTCATCTAAGAGTACTACTAAACTGCTTACTCCTAATATGTCAGTTAAGAAAAAAACAGTTTGTTTATATGATGCAGAAAATGAATATGATGAAATTACTACAAGGAAGGATTCAGCAAAGAAAACCGAGTTGTCCTCTCCTAGTTTGCCAGTATATAAAAGAAAAACAGTTGTCACATGTAAGACTGGAAATATTCCTGATGAAGTTATTGCAATGGAAGTTGAAGAACAAGAGATAATAACTGAAATTGCTAACTTTCGGGGATCAGTCTGTCACACGCAAAAGACGGAGAGCATCCAGTTATTAACATCGAGCATCAACAGCAGCTCAAAGTCTGTCCATATTGTGGTTGATACAAATGTTCTCATTCAGGATATTGGATTTCTTGAAAGCCTGAAAACGAAGGAAATTGCTGGAAAAGAAGTTGTTATTGTAGTCCCTTACACTGCTTTACAAGAAATGGATGGACTGAAGAAGAAGGAATCTATTGGGAAAGCATGCCAAGAAGCTATTCGATGGTGCAACAGTCATTTTCAAAACAGAGACCCAAGAGTACAAGGACAAAGTTATGACAGTTACCTCAAAACTTTAAATGACAGCAAACGCCCTGTAAGTATAAAAAAAATTCTATAATATAAAACAAAATTTATTCATACGTTGTTTAATTTTGCATTATAGAATCTAAATAGTGAAATGTATGATATCTGAAACTTGTAAGTACAGTACTATATACATGCTTTAAAATGGCGGTTGCCAACCTTTCTGAGCTCACGGATCACTAAATTAATAATTTTAAATCCAGCAGGTTTGCTAAACAAGAAATGATAGTTATTAAAGTCAAATTATTTGATACCATTAAATATAACAGTTAAAATACACAGTTACATACAATACACAAATAAAATTGTCTCGCGAACCACCGGTTGGCAACCGCTGCTTTAAAAGGCACTAACATGTAAGCTCTTTATACAATAAATGCTCTAGTATATTGTTATTTAAAAGATAAAGTAATATGTTGTTTTAAAGAATGCTTAAATATATTTTACATTATGCATATATTCTAATGATACATATAATGATGCATCACTGAAAAAACTTCTGCACTTGTTCATATGATGCACTATGTGTCAGTTACCTGTCAATTTTCATCTAGCATAAAATTTTATTCATAATATGACACAGAATGTTCAAATCATACAGTTGTCAAATGTGTGAAGCTTAGGGGAGCGTGTGGTGGTTGGGTCGCACTCACTAATACCCTGCAAGGCTCCATATAAATATCACTACCCACAAATACTTGTGTGTTTGTTGTGATTTCTTTTGGGAGTCTTTTGATATTTGTTCTTGCAGCTAATAGCAGAAAATATATAACCCCATCATAGAAGTAGGGAACCAGAGCTGTAGATGACTGCAATGGGCTGTCAACTAGTATTTAGACAAAACAAAACAAGAATAGATTGGAATGGTATATGGTTAATAAGGGTGGATTTCAATTCTATCTGCCTAATATGTACTAAAATGCTGCTAATGCTCCCTAATGCTTATACTATATTTTTATGGAACTGCAAATGAAAAAACCAGCGTTGAATGTAATGAAATACCATTTTGTGGGTGAGACCCGGAGGCTCCCTGGAGCTATCCAGGCTGATATGCATATACTGTATTAGACTTTGGCATCAGTCAATGTGAATGGAGTTCTAGACCTACCATGGACCACGAGCCAGAACCTGGCCCCCCCCATCCCCTCAGAGAGGCACGAGGAGCAATGGCCTATAGAAACCCCCATGTGGTTGGAAGCATTCTATGTCTGCCATCGACCGGTCAGGCACCCAGAAAGGTAAGCACCCCAAAACAAACCCCCTATTCTGGTTAAGAAATTGCTACTGAAAGCTGAACTAGTGGACAGAACCAAACAAAAACGAGCAAACGAGCATGATGTCACCATGTCACTACGCCGTTTGTCTGCACAGCTCCCCCTTCCCCGAGAAGGGGAAGGGGGTGCCCCAGACCCGTATGCCGGCTATCCACACCCCAGTTCTGAGGCTGGATGTCAAAAACACAAAAAAATGCTGACCAGAGGGAGGGAGGGAGGGTTGCCAGGGACCCTCTAGGTCTTGCCCAGAAAATGGCGTTTCATTACAGTCAAAGCTGGATTTCTGGGGGAAACCCCTTCGGCTCCGTAGAGCTATGTACCCAGAGACAAAATCAAGAGGGACTTTCCCGGGAGGTGGTCGGCACACTCTCCTCAACACAAAGTCATGACAACAGGCTGCAACCGCCGACCCAAAGCAACACAGCCCAAAGAGGCCCAGGAACATTTACAAGGTAGTGAGTGGCCAGGACCCTGTTCGACCTCCAAAAACCCCGTGCCCGAATGTCAGCCCAAAACATGTTACTAAAGACGGCAGCCAGTGCAGCAAACTTACGAACGTTGTTGGCACGAGAATGGACCGCAGACTGGCTGGACCATATAACCCTGCGGACGACCTGGGAGACCCGAACCCTGGAACAGGGAATGTGGGAAACCGGGTCAACCCAAAGCACGTCCCCGGCCACAGAGGCCGTGGCGTGCAGGTAACGGCGGAGAGCCGCAACTGGACACAACACATGATGCACCCTCGGCCTAACCAACCAAGCAACAACAACCCAAGGGCCCCTCTGGAAAGCAACAGTCTCATTCTTCGCCAAAAAAAAGGAGATGGCTACAAACAAATAAACCTACCACCAGGACCAAAAGAGCAGAAACCCCTGCGCCGGAGGAGAGCATGAAGCTTCCCGACCCAATCCCTAAGGGTCAATGCCGACAGGAAAAGAGTCTTGGAAAAAATAATCCTGAACTGAAGAGGCCAACACAAACCGAGGAGAAGAGAGATAGGAGAGCACTCTGTCTAAAAACCAGGATGGCTCAGGTGGTGCATGAGCAGGCCGGAGGTGAAACAACGCACGAGACAGCTTGAGGAACGGCGCGGAAGTAACATCAATGCCAAATGCAAGTTGCAGCGGCTCCACCAGCGCTGCACTGCACAAGGCTACAGTATTCGGCATAAGATGTTGTCCTGGAACAACCAGAAAGGAAGGACAAAACAACTGGAACAGGGACCAAGCAAGCAGCTCCTAAAACCAAGGCTGGGCCGGCCACCAAGGAGCCAAGGGGACTACTCTTCCCTGGTAAGTCTCCAAGCGAGCTAGGACCTGAAGCAACAGTGGAACAGGGAGGAAGAAATACAGGTAACCCCACCTTGACCAGTGCTGCCGCAAGGTATCCTCAGTTTTCCGGCCTGGGTTTTCCTGCCCTTAGAGCGAGGCTTACTGTTACAAGGAGTGGGATTTTCCTATCCCCCCCCTCTGCGAATGAGTTGGATTTTTAATTGGCTCCTCCCCATGTTTGGTTCCGTATCCCTGCGTATCACACTTCAGTTCTGTCCTTCTGGAGGTTTTCGGCTTCCCACGTCTCGCCTCCTGAGGTGCGAGCGGCCATTGCGGCTTACCTCCTGCGTGACCCGGAATATGCCTCTACAATGGATCCGTCTTCCTTCAGGTTTGAATCATCGTCTCCATACTGGGTTCGTTATGAGGTTTCGGAGTCGACGGGCGGACGTCCCGTTGTTGTCGTTGGATGCTTGGGATGCTTTCTGTCATACCCACACGCTTGAGTGGCGTGAGGCATTGACTGTGGTCCAGGTTTACCTGGGGGGGCGACTTTGAGCGACGGGATGTGGACGCGATTCAGCTTCATGTGCAGGTTCCCTCCCTGTCGGCTGCGCTTGTGCCCGAGGACTTGTGTGCTTGTGGCTTTCTGGTTTCGGTCTTGCGTTTTTTCCCTCCTGGAGCTGTCTTCGGATTGGCTTGCGGAGGATGTGGAGGCGCTTCGGGCCATTCCTGGGTTTGGTGCCGTAGTCTTGGCTGCTAGTGTGTCGTCTGCAATTTTGAAGGTGTTTGCACTTATCATGCAGGATGCGCTGTCATGGTTTTTTGCTGCGCATCTTGCATGTCGACATGTTGTGCTCGCTTCCTCCTTGGAATCTGCTTGGGCCCTGGCTCTTAGATTGTCTTCGCCCATTTGTCCTTTGCTGTTTGCGGACTCTGCGGTTGAGCGGTATATGCAAGCAACTTCGTCCAGCCGTCGTCCAATGTTCGACTTGTTGGTTCTCCGGGGGCCCCAGGTGGGTTCTTCCCAGAGGGTTCGGGGTTCTGCTCGTTGGGGAATGCCGCCGGTGCCAGTTTCAGAGCCAGCGCAGCCTTTGGAACCATCTGCGTCTGGTTGGCGCGGCGATCGCTGTGTACGCAAGTTGGGTTCTTGTAAGGGGCGTCGGCCCCTTTCGCGGTTTGCCCTATTGATGGGGGTGATGTTGGGGGGAGGCTTGCTCTGTTCACTCACGCATGGTCTCGTGATTCGTGGGCTTTTCGGGTCATTTCTCGCGGCCTGCGGTGGCGTGGGTGGCTCCTCCTCCTTTGGGTGGCTCTGGGCTGGCAGGGCAGGTCTTTTCTCCTATGGTCTGTCAGATCATCTCGGAGTGGGTGCGCTTGGGTGTGGTCAAAATGACAACGTCTCTCAGGTGAGTTTCCCTCCTGTTTCCAGTTCCGAAACGCAATTGTGAGGACTTGCGGTTCATTCTGGACTTGTCCCGTCTGTACCCCTGGGTTTCTTACCTCTTCCTTTTGGATGACCACTCTGTCCCAGGTCCAGCTCCTGTTGGAGCTGGGTGCTTGGATGGTGTCCCTGGACCTCAAGGACGCTTATTGGCACGCCCCGATTCATCCAGGATTCAGGGTCTGGCTCAATTTTGTTGTAGGGCGTTAGAGTTACCGCTTTCGTTGTCTTCCTTGAACATGGTTGAACATGGCACCTCATGTGTTCACACACCTTACCTGGGTTGTGGTGGCCCCTCTGCGTCTTTTAGGTGTTCGGGTGTTGGCTTACCATAACGACTGGCTGGTCTGGGCTCTCAGTCGGTCCGTGTGTCTGCTCTCCAGGTGTTTGCTTCTTTCCCAGCTAGCCGGGTTCGGGTTCCTGGTGAACTGGTGGAAGTCCCATTTGGTTCCCTCCCAGGTTCGGAGGGACCTGGGAGGTCCCAGGTCACTTTTCACTTCAGAAGGTTCGGGTCGCTCCCACAGATCGACAATCCAGTTCCATTCAGACTGCTCTTCAGTGGTTCATGCCTGAACCGAGGGGGTTCAATGCGGTCCTTGGTTCTTTGGGGCTGGTCGCTTCGGGTGACTCATCTGTTGAGTTCTCGGGGTTTGACTCTCCTACTGGTGGTTCACGTCTTGGGGGTGTCGAACGTCCTGGCGGACGGCTTGTCCCGGTTTGTTTCCCTGTCCACTGACGTTCGGGCACCAGGAGGTGGACGTCTTCGTGTCAGCGTGGTTGAGGCATCTTCCGGTATATGTGGCGCCCTATCCCTGCCGTGAGGCCATTGGGTTCGACGCTTTTCAGCAGGACTGGTCGAGGTGGGGGTTCCTGTACCTCTTTTCCCCGGGTTCAGTTATTGCTCCAGGTCCTAGCTCGCTTGGAGACTTACCAGGGTCGAGTTGTCTTCTTGGCCCCATGGTGGCCGGCCCAGCCTTGGTTTCAGACGCTGCTTGCTTGGTGTACGAACCCAGAGGTTCCCGGAGGTTTTTCTGCGGCTCCACCACTTTCAACAGATCGGGCCGGTCTGTTACAAGACTGGTTCGCTCTTCTCCTCGAGTCTTCGCATTTGGTCTTTTTGACTCGAGTCTATCACCATATGTATGGTGATCAGGAGGCTTCTTTGATGGTGTCCCACCTGCAGGCTTCGTCTTCGTGGCAGTATGAAGCTTCCCTGGCAGTCCTTCCATTTCTTTTTGTTTCTTCGTTGCTGTACTTCGCTTTCTGTTAGGGTTGTTTTTTCCTTTCTCTAGTGGCTGCTTCTGGACAGTCATCTTATGGTGAACGCTGCCGCCTCATATCGTACGGCATTGGTGGAGCCGCTGCAGCTTGCTTTCAGTATTGATGTTACTTCTGCACCGTTTTGCAAGCTGTCTCGAGCGTTGTTTCACCTTCGGCCTGCTTATGTGCCGTCTGAGCCGTCCTGGTCTTTGGACAGTGCTCTCGTTCCTGTCTTCGCCTCAGTTTATTGTGGCCCCTTCGGTTCAGCATTGTTTTTCCAAAGCTCTTTTCTTATTGGCATTGGCCTCTGGAGGTTGGGTTGGGGAGCTTCATGCTCTCCTCCGGCGCAGGGGTTTCTGCTCTTTTGGTCGTGGTGGTAGGTTTATTCATGTGCAGCCATCTCCTTCTTTTCTGGCGAAGAATGAGACCGCTGCTTTCCAAAGGGGTCCTTGGGTTGTTGATGCTCGGTTGGTCAGGCTGGGGGTGCATCATGTTTTGTGTCCGGTTGCGGCTCTCCACCAGTATTTGCGCGCCACAGCCTCTGTTGCTGTGGACGTGCTTTGGGTTGGTCCGGTTTCCCTTCTTCCCTGTTCTCCGGTTCGTGTCTCTCAGGTCGTCTGCACGGTTATTCGGTCAAGCCAGCCTGCGGTCTATTCCCATGCCCATTAGTTTGCTGCGCTTGCTGCCATCTTTGATAACATGTCCTTAGTTGACATTTGAGCACAAGGATTTTGGCGGTAGAACAGGGTCCTGGCTGCACGCTACCTCGTGAATGTTCCTGGGCCTGTGTTGCTGTTGTCTCGACTTAGAGTTGAGATGTGAGCGCCGACCGCTTTCCAGGTAAGTTCTCCTATTTTTGTCTTTGGTGAAGTAGCTCCGGGGAGCCGTAGGGGCTCCCCCCAGAAAACCAGTGTTGAATGTAATGAAAAGCCATTTTCTGGGTGAGTCCCGGAGACTCCCCAGCAACACTCCCTCCCTCTGGTCGGCGGTTTTTCGCGTGTTTTTGACATCCAGGCTCAGAACTCGTGGATGGATTGCCGGCATGGGGGTCTGGGGCTCCCCCTCCCTCCTCCCGGGAAGGGGGGAGCTGCACAGACATGTGAGGCGGGGTGTGTGACTCATGCTTGTTTGCTTGTTTTCATTTGGGGAGTTCTGACCGCTAGTTGGTCTATTTTAGTCATTTTAACCAAAATAAGGGTTTGTTTTGAGGCACTTACCTTTCTGGGTGCCTGTCCCGGTCGATGGTAGAAATAGAATGCTCCAAATCCCATGTGCATTTCTATAGGCCATTATTCCTCGTGCCTCTCTGAGGTGGGGCCAGGTTCTGGCTGTGGTTCCTGGTAGGCCTTGAACTCCATTCACACTGATGTCAAAGTTTAGGGATATACATATCAGCCTGGATAGCTCCGGGGATCCTCCGGGACTCGCCCAGAAAATGGGGTTTCATTACATTCTACACTGTTTTTTTACTTATGGTACTTTCTCTATTGGTGTGATTCTTTCTTTCTCAAAAATTAAAAGGTATGCAAATATTAAATAATTAGGTAACGGAAGAGATGCCACTAGTAAGGTAGGGGAGGAGTGATATTCCATACACCAAAATTATCCCAATGCCTTTGGTCTCGAGCATGTTGGATTTGAGAAACTTGGCTTTACTATTTTTATTTCCATCAAACAACAAGGTTTTGTAATTTTCAGAGTGGTGATGATCTCATCCGTGACTGCTGCTTGACTTTGAAGAAAGAAGGCCTCGATGTGTGTCTCCTTACAAATGATGTTAATTTGCAGAATAAGTCTTTGATGTCTGACATATCAGCAATTGGTATTCGGGGTCTTAGACTGAAACTTCAACAATCATCCAGAGAAATGACAAATCAAGATAATTTTGAAGTTCACTCTAAAATAGAGGATTCTCAAATGAAAGTTCCTTATGCTTCAAAATTTCATGTCGATATTGTACATAATAGCACAGAAGAACCTTTTGAATATTCACAGCCCGAACAAATGATCTGTGATGTGAGTCCTGTACAAAACAGAAAATCTACACCAAGGAAGGACAGTGAATGCAAGACAGTTAGAAAGGCAAGAACATCTAATAATAAGTGTAATAGTGAGGATGAAGAATTGCTACACAAAATCAGCACATCATTAAATGCCACTCTAAGTCAGATCTTAGAGCTAATAATGAAAGATACATATGGTGATATTTGGACTGAGATTGTTATACATAAACCTCCCTGGAATGTCAATGAAGTTTTATCCTGTTGGGAAAAACATTGGATTGCTGTTATGAGTGATAAGTTTCCACGAAGAATCAAAGAGTTGTTGATGTGGATCAAACGGATTTTGGAAAACTATGGGAGAGGAAGTTGTAATGCGAATGCTCTTCGTGAACAAGTGCAAAATTTGTATGATTTCTTCAAAGATGGAAAATTTAAAGACTATATTTTTCCAATTCATGGGCAATCTTTTCAGACTACAAACATAACTGAAATTTCGGATCAGAGCTCTACATCATCCACCACTGACATATCAACAGAAGCTAATACATTTAAAAGCCCAATAAGAAACAGTGAGGACTCCATCAAACAACATGTACCTGCCTCCAGTGGTACTGAAAATATAGAGAAAATGATCAACCTTGTTGGGATGCACATCACACATTTCATGTAAGTATAATTATCTTTTGGTATACAGTATCAGAATTTAACAGAATAAATTGTGTAATTAAAAATTTATTGCTGTCTACATAGTGGTATTTTTTATTTTTTTTTTCTGGGCAGGGCACCCCCCCCCCTCAGTACACATATTCCTGTTTTATAGCATTTGGGTTGCTAAGCCTTAGAGAATCACACCAGCCATCTGGGACCTATTCAAGTTGACTGAGTGAGCCAGGAATAGAATCAGGATTTTCTGGGGAAAGCCCCTACGACTCCCCGGAGCTATCCAGGCTGATATGGATATCCCTAACATTGGCATCAGTTGACATGGGTGGAGTTCTAGGCCTACCAGGGACCATGAGCCAGAACCTGGCCCCCTCAGAGAGGCACGAGGAGCAATGGCCTATAGAAATGCACGTGATTTTGGAGCATTCTATATCTGTCATCGACCGGGAGAGGCACCCAGAAAGGTAAGCGCCCCAAAACAAACCCCTATTCTGGTTAAAAACGATGAAAATAGACAAACAAGTGGACAGAACTCCCTAAATGAAAACGAGCAAACAAGCATGATGTGACACAAGCCGTGCTGCATGTCTGCTCAGCTCCCCCCATCCCGTGAGAGGGGGATGGGGGAGCCCAAGACCCCCGAGCTTGTGATCCACCCTGCAATTCTTCGACTGATGGGATACAGCATGGTCGTGTGGCTCCAGCTTCGGACCCTTGTTGTGCTGTCCTCAGTTTCAGTACTGCTCTTCTAGTGGTGTGTGAACTGGGAGTAATATTCACAGGTACTCGGGCTGCATGTGCTTAGGGTCATCTTCCCTGAGTGCCCTGTAAGTACCGCCCTAGGGGCTTGGGGTTCCTTTCCACAAGTCACCTTGGGTCTACCTCTATTGCTCTTTTACTGCTTGGCGATTGACTGCCCTGAGTGTTTTGGGGGGGTTTCCATCCTTATTTACCTTGGTGTAAGTGGTAGTTTTTGCACTGGTACGGGTGCAGGGTACTGCATAGCTAGTTTTCACCTATAACAGTGGCCAGCTCTGTTCCCCCCCCCCCTGGGTATGCTGTTCTCTTGCAAGGTTTTTCTTTTCTTTTTGCCTGGTGTGGGGGGGGGGGGGTCTGCAGGTCTGCCTTGGTGTTCCACCCCCCCTCATACTAGGGTTGCTTTTGTTAGGTGGTACCCCCTGCTTTGCTCTCATGAGTGGATACGTCCCGGGGGTTCAGCATTAGCTGTGTTGATTGGTAGCTTGGGCGCTGGTTAACAGTACCCTGCCTGGGATTACCCTTAGGAGACCCAGTCTAGAGGCCCTGGGAAACCCTGCGGGGGCACTCGGGTCCGATGGATGAGACCCCTGAGTCCCCTCTCACTTTTTGCGAGTTTGAGGGTTGCTCTGTCCCCTTGTCTTAGGGCAACGCTCATTGTTTTTACCTCCGTCATGTTGCCTGTTGAATTGGTGACACATTCGACCCTGAGTCCTGTGAGCTTAGTTGCTTGTTTGTGACTCGGTTCACCCAATCTGATTATTCGGGTGTAGGCAGCTCGCGCGTTGCAGGATAGGTTTAGGTTGTTGCAACGCGCTAGGTTGGTTGCTTCCCCGGATGCCCCGAGGGTGCCCCCGTTTTGCTTATAGGGACCTGGACTTGGGGGTGTTGGTTGCGTAGGCCTTGGTTCCGTCCGCAACCCCTTGTTCTTTCCCTGCTGTGGTTCATTCGCCCCCCCCCCCCTTCCCCTGCTTACGGTTCCTAAGCATCTGAGTGCTTCGAGGTCAGGGCAGGGTTTAGAGGTTTCTGAGACTCGGCGGTTTTGGGGGTTGCCCCCTGCCAGGGTGGCTATGGAGGCATTCGAGTCTGTTCCTCCAGCCATAGCTCCAGGGTCTGACCAGTGGGCCCATTTGCTTCCTGCTCTTTTGGCCCCGGCTTTTGCTTGTGAGGCTAGGGCTTTGGAGGACGACTCGCCCCCGGGGCCTTACGTGGAGATTCCTGAGATTGAGGAGGAGCTGACTTGGGGGCCTTGGGCCCCGTTAGACCCCACCTGGGTTTTCTGACCCTCCAAGTGGGGCTTAATGCTACAGGGAGTGGGGTTTTCCTTTCCCCCCTCTGCGTACGAGTTGGATTTGGGTTCGGCCCTTCGGTTCTGTCCTTCTGGAGGTTTTCGGCTTCCCGCATCTCTCCTGCTGAGGTGCGGATGGCCATCGTGGCTTACCTCCTGCGCGACCCGGAGTATGCCTTCTATAATGGATCTGTTTTCCTTCGGGCTTGGATCTTCATCTCCATACTGGGTTTGTTATGAGGTTCCAGAGTCGTCCTGGCTTGCAGACTGCCCTGTTTTCGCTGGATGCTTGGGGCACCTTCTGTCATACCCGCATGCTTGAGTGGCACGAGGCGTTGACTGTGGTCCAGGTTTACCTGGGGAGACGACTTTGCACATCTTAATGAGTGCCTTTTCACTCCGGTTCTTCTGTGGGATGTGGGCGTGGTTCAGCTTCATGTGCAGGTTCCTTCCCTGTCGGCTGCACTTGTAATTACTTAAGTAATTTCCTAAGTGTAGTTACAGGATGAGAGCTACGCTCGTGGTGTCCCGTCTTCCCAGCACTCTTTGTCATATAACGCTTTGAAACTACTGACGGTCTTGGCCTCCACCACCTTCTCACCTAACTTGTTCCAACCGTCTACCACTCTGTTTGCGAAAGTGAATTTTCTTATATTTCTTCGGCATCTGTGTTTAGCTAGTTTAAATCTATGACCTCTTGTTCTTAAAGCTCCAGGTCTCAGGAAATTTTCCCTATCGATTTTATCAATTCCTGCACTCTGGGGGTTCATTGCCTGAACCGCTGAACCATGGGGGGGAGGGGGGGATCTACAGTCTGTGGCTCTTTGGGGCTGGTCGCTTTGAGTGACTTTTCTGCCGAGTTCTCGGGGGTTTAGCTCTCTGTGCGGTTCATGTCCAGGATGTGTGTCCAATGTCCTGGTGGAGTCTGTCACAGTTCATTCCCGTCCACAGAATGGACAGTCAACAACACCAACTCGTTCAGTTGGCTCTACCGGACATACAGTGGCACCTCGACTTACGATTGCCCCGACTTACAATAATTTTGAGTTACGATATAAATTTGATCGAAAAATGTGACTCGATGGTGTTGTCGACTAGAGATATTCGTTGATACACGTTCGGGTCGACCAAGGGCATGGTTCCCGGTCACGCGGGCCGACCTGCCTCAGTTTACTAGAGCTGCCCGCTTTGTGACGGTCACGCTTATAAGAAATTCCATTTTTGTGGTGATTTTTTGCTTTTTGAACATAAAACTGATTATTATATATCATGCCATGGGTCCCAAGAAAGTCAGTGGTAAGGTTCAACATATGAAAACATATGTAAGAATGACCATAGAGGAAAAACAAGAGATCATACTTAAACATGAAAATGGTACTCGTGTTGCTGAACTAGCTAGGCAGTACTGTACAACAAATCTTCAGAGGAGGAGGAGGCGGCGGTATTAGAGGATGTCCCTTCCTCATTAATTAAGAAAATGTGTGCAGTGTGGGAAGAACTGCAGAGTTTTGCTGAAAAGAATCACCCAGATAAAGCTGTAACAGGCTGTTGCATTGATCTTTTTATTGACAATGTGGTGTCTCACTATAGACAAGAGTTGGAAAGAAGGGAAAAACAATCTTCAATGGAACGATTTCTAGTGAGAAAATCAAGCAGTGAGCCAGAAGCAGGTCCTAGTGGTATGCAGGAAAACGTACCAGAGTGTGTACCCCAGAGAAGTCCTCACTGCCTGATGTTATAATGGAAGGGAACTCCCCTTCCAAACAGTAACACCTCTCCTCTTCCCCTCCCCCCTCCTCATCATCTTCCATACGCCATCAAGAGTCCTCCATAAAGGTAAGATAAACATATGTACTGTATTGTAGTTAGAGAAAAAAATTGTATTCAGTATAAAATGTATTTTTAAGTTAATATTTTTGAGGGTGTGGAACAGATTAATTCAATTCCCTTTATTTCTTATGGGAAAAATCGTTTTGACTTGCGATATTTCGACTTACGATATGTCTCTGGGAACGGATTACCATCGTAAATCGAGACCCCCCCACTGTACGTGATATCTTTGGAACAGTTCTTTGCATAGATTGTTAACAGTTGAAATAAAATGCATGTTTATTATATGGGGCTTTCCATAATAATTGACAAGAGTATCCCAATGGTAGGTATTAATTATTTTCCCCATGTTATATTTCAGAGCCATGATATTAGATGCCTATGGAGTCACACACAGTTTACCAACTCTTAACACAGCCAATACAATGACTAGAGAAGGTGCCCAAAGTAGCTGCATAAATCTGCACAACGTCACCATGAGACTGGGTACTACAATTGCCAGGTTTGAATCAGAAAAATAAGCTGTGTTATCAGTTACTAGTAGAAATATCCTAACGGTGTCATTGACATGGTACTCATCAAGTACATTGTTTAAATGCCGCTGTTTTCAACTCTGTGAGGTCAGTCCAGGACCTAACCTTATAGCTAGTCATTGCTAACTAAACAGGAACACCTATTTTTCAGAAATGTTTGAAGGATCAGGCATTTGTCAGTGTTCAATACAGTTAAAGTGAAGTCTCAGACATCAGTTTTGACTTTCATTGCTTTAGACAGGGCATGATACTTTTAAAGTGTAGAACAAATATACCAGGACATAGCCAAGCATCTTAGCGGTAATGCACAAGCAAATTATTTCCAGTACAGTATTTGTAATGTTTCTAAAATTTAAGATTAAGTTCCTTTATTTAAAATTAGTTTCTTCTGCAGGTCTTTAAATGAAGGAACTGCAGACTTACTTCAAGAATTTGGTAACCTGCTGATAAACTTCTGGGCAGATGCCAAAGAACCTTGCCCAAACTTGCCCTTCACAGAAGAGGATCTAGCACAGTATGTTGCATCTACAAATGGTCGGCAGTTCCTTCAGTTAACATTAGGTGAACTGGAAAGATTGCTTACCATGCTTATATCTGTAGTTAACAGTCAATAATTTTGTTATACTGTACATTTGTTACGTTTATGGAAATTTATCCCATTTCTAGTCGTACTGCAATTTTTCTGGATTTTTACAACACAGTAACTATATTTGGAATCAAAAGATAACATACAACAAAATTCATAAAGTATATTAAGAGCTTCCATAGCAACAGTGATATCTATAAATATTTTTTTTATTTAATACTGTTATTTAGAATTACATGCAATATAGTACTTTCAAATAAGATGATGATAATTGAAGGCGTTTTATAATGCAGATATGGGAAAGGTGAAATTTTGCACATTTTATTAAAATATTGACATTGTATGTTACTGTAGTTTATTAAGAATGGATATACAAAAGGATTATGAATTAAAACCAGTGCCTGTAAATATAATTTTCCTGATACAGTAAATGATTAAATTTCTTTTAAAAAAAAAAGATACAGGCTGATGATAGCATTTGGCGTGAAGAGTAGTTGCCCTGTAGTCACCTGACCTACACCTCCTAAAGTGGCCTTGATGCACACAGGAAGCCTATGGCTTGGTCTGTATTTTGCTCAAGCATTTTGTGCCATTTGCTGGTGGTTGAAACATATGGTTTTATTGACTGTCATGTATTTTCTTTGGTTTATAGAATCAGATTCTTTTGATTTATGTATACAAAAGCAGTAGTCAACTATTCAACCAATAATGTAATAATGATAATAAGAATAATAATAATCAACATTAATGATCAAGGTCTTTAACAGTATATTTTTAGGTTGAAAGTTTAGTGACGAACTTTTGTACTTTGTATTTTCATATCGCATGCAGTAGAAGGTACCCTCCTGCTACCTCGAATTACAGCTTAAGTAAGCATTATTTAGTAATACCTATTATTGGTTGTACTTTTGTTTGCTGTTATTACCATCTCGTATAAAAAAAAGAATCATTCTGAAGAATGGTGAGAAGTTGAGATGACAAATGGTTTTGGGTTTCAGATTTGAAATTCACGAGTTAATTTTCAATAAGAATAAGATTTATATTGTATTTGTTAATTGTACCTCAAGTACACGTGAGATTTTGCTTCATCACGTTTACAGTATTTGGAGGCATTTGGATTTTTTATTTAAACTTTCTTTTTCTGCTTACAAAATAATGTAAAGCATCACTTTGGTGTCTCATACAAATAAATGCTCACATTAATAATCATCAATGAAATTTCTCAGTAAATACTAAAATCTTTCCTGCCAGTAAATTTTCCATCAAATCAAACTCCCTTAGCATCCCAGAAGACATTAGAATTCCTCAAAAAATTAAAAATATATAGAAGTTCTTAAAACATGCATTATAGCTTTTTAAAATAAAAACGCTGTAATGTGATAGACTACAGTGAATTATTAATTGAAAACAATATTTCACTGCATTTCTTGAATAGTATTGTAAAGATATCAACAAAAACAATTTTGAAAGACTATAAAACAGTTTACAAAAACATTTAGATTATTTGTTCTTTTTTATAATTTTGACATTAGTCAGAGTGAAAAAACGGTTGTATATGGTTATCTGGTTATCTTGAGATGATTTCAGGGCTTTTTAGTGTCCCCGCGGCCCAGTCCTCGACCAGGCCTCCACCCCCAGGAAGCAGCTCGTGACAGCTGACTAACACCCAGGTACCTATTTTACTGCTAGGTAACAGGGGCATAGGGTGAAAGAAACTCTGCCCATTGTTTCTCGCCGGCGCCCGGGATCGAACCCGGGACCATAGGATCACAAGTCCAGTGTGCTGTCCACTCGACCGACCAGCTCCCTCCTGGTATCCAAATCCAAAGACCGTAGAGCTGGTAAGTGGACCAAGAAGGATGGGGTGAGGATGCAGAAAACACAAAGGGGGTTTGGGATGAAAGGTGGAGGGGGGTAGTACAGATGAGTACCCCAACCACTCTGGGTATTCTGATGAGAGGTGATACTGTGGTGCGGTTTTGAGGTGATGTGTGATCTGAGATATGATGATTTCTGTGGTGCTCGTTTTTTTTTTTTTATGGTGGGGTGCAGCCGGCTCGCGACATCGGTTTCCGGAGAGCTGTACATATGCAGTTTGAGTTCAGGGGTTTGTTTGGAAATTTGGGTTTATGTGTTAGACTTCAATCTTCTGGTAGTGGAACTTAGCTGGTAATTCCCACTCATCCTCGGTTGGCAGGTAGCTCAGAATTCTGGGTCTTGGGAAGCCCTTATCGTGTATATATCTACGTACTGTTTTGCTGTAGGGACATTCTCCTTGTCCTGTAGGGCTGGACGGATATTTCATTGGTAGTTGTGTTATGTATCACAAAGGGGTCTTCACGGTTGGGTACATACATGCTCCTCATTTTGCATAGCTGCTTGATCGAGAGTCTGCGCAGGCGAACGTTCAGTGGGGTTCATTTTCAATCTGGTATGTAGGTTGTCGGTGTGCACCCTATTCATAAGCGACATGTCAGCCACAAATCGCAACGCACTGTTCTGAACGCGCTGCAACTTGAGCATGTTATTGTATATGTTACTGTATGTATTTTTGTAACATTTTAATGCAAATGACAAATTTTTATTTTTTGTATTCCATCTGATATGATCTTTGTTAGTAAAAAAATGAATAACTTTGCCTGAATTTTTCACTATGACAGTGACCCATCCTAAATGAATACAGAAACTTTGATCAACATTAGTCTCATTAACGTGTATAAATACTGGTCCATTTGATGCTGCAATATAGTTTATAAATACAAGATAACATAACCTGTGTATTTTACCAGGAAACAATGCAAAAATACTTAAATGTACACCAAAATAGGGCACTAAGCAAAATAAAATACTTCCTTTTGAGCCAATCCCTTTGCTGCTTCCTTGACCCAGCAGCCTGTTTGAGTTCACAGACACATTCTGCCCACCAGGAGCTAATAATTTGTGCATCCACTATGTCATTAGTTTTTGTTTAAATACTGTATTGTACTGTAGTCTGGTCATGTAGATGGTGTAAGGTGACGATGGCAAATGTTATCTTCTGTCACTATTGAGAGACCAACTCACTATAATACAAAAGATTTAACAATAAAACAACATATCCCTTACCAGTGAAAATTACAATTAAGTGATATAAATTCTCACTCTGCTAACTACTGGCTGGGCAATAGCCACTGCCGTAGAAGAACTCTTGGGGAACCATCCCGACGAGTCTGGTGAAAGTCCTCAGTGCCAGATGAATGCCTAAGAGAACCAGCTGAAAGGTGTGACCAACCCAAAACCATGACCACTCTCAAAACCTCGACATAATAGTCATATGCTAATAGACATCCCAGAAGTTCAGGGACATGAGCCAGGATTGCCTCCAACCATATGGAAAACTACAGATAAATGGATGTCATTCAAAGTGTTAAGCATGTGCTCATATTCCTTGCCTAAAACTTTCGCTCACGGAACGAGCGAGCGCCAGACCACCCCAAGGTGCGCCGCGCATTCCCTGGGCGCGCGAGGTTTTTTAATCTTTTTTTTTTTTTTTTTAGTTTTTTAATCACTTTTTTTTTCAATTTTCTCACATCAATTCTCATCCTAGGTCTTTCATTTTGGTATCAATGTGTTCGCAATAAAATTCCTTACAGGAGTATATGTATATAAAGTCCAAAAGCGTGGCATAATACCTGCAGCAAACAGAGAAAGTGACATCGCATTAGCCGTGAACACTCAAGAGCAATAAAATGTGTATACTCTTTTCAACTTTGTCACCTCAATTCTCGTCCTAGGTCTTTCATTTTGGTATCAATGTGCTCGCATTAAAATTCCCCTACAGGGGTATATGCATATAAAGTCCCAAACCGCGGCGCGCCCTTCCCAAAGCCAAGCCGAAATCTGGCCAAATTTTTAAATTTCTTATGCCATACTGCATCATTACCAAACGTTCGTCTACTAAATTTTTTATGCCATACTGCATCATTAACGAGCGAAAGTGTTAAAAGACTGAAGATCCTTCAGTGAAGCATTTCTTCCCCACTGTACATGAAGAGAACACGTAACTGCATTTTCTCTCTTGTGCCACCAACGTCTAAATGTGATCACAGAAGAATGGATTAGCTAGCTACCCCACATCGGAGGAACATCCATATCATGGTCTAAATTGAAGACTGGCTCACTTGGGCTCTCGGTCATCATGTTTGTCCGCTAGCTCAGGATTGTGCATTTATGGACTTGGGTTTCTCATCAATGAGCAGATGTCCCTCCCTCCCCCCCCCCTACCTACATTTGCAATGTTTCACTTGATTAGAACTACAGGGGGTACCTCAGCTTACGAATTTAATCCGTTCCCAGAGACAGCTCGTAACCTGAAAATCCGTAAACCGAAGTGAATTTCCCGATAAGAAATACGGGAAAGGAATTAATCTGTTCCAGACTCCCCAAAAAATTAACTTCAAAGTAAATTTTATACCTAATTTACCCAAATCTTCAGTACAAAAGTATGTACAAGTTATTACTTACCTTTACTGATAACTCATGTTGGCATATGGAGGACAGTGAGGAAGGGAGAAAGAGGAGAGGTGCTACTCTTTGGAAGGGAAGTCCCCTTCCATTTTAATATCAGGCAGTGATGACTTCTCTTGTGTACACTCTCTGGCACGTCTTGCCTGCATACCACTAGGACCTGCTTGTGGCTCACTGCTTGATTTTCTCACTAGAAATTGTCCATTGAAGATTGTCTTTCCCTTCTTTGTAACACTTGTCTGTAGTGAGACATCACATTATCATTAATAAGGTCAATGCGATGGCCTGCTTAAGCTTAATCTGGGTGATTCTTTTCAGCAAAACTTTGCAGTTCTTTCCATACTGCACACATTTGCTTAATTAATGAGGAAGGGACATCCTCTACTGCCTCCTCCTCCTCCTCCCCCTGAAGATTTGTTGTACTGCCTAGCTAGTTCAACAACCCCTGTACCAATTTCACGTTTATGAATTATCTCTTTGTTTTTCTTCTAGGGTCATTCTCACATGTGTTTTCTTGGCTTGAACCTTACCACTGGCTTTCTTGGGACCCATGGCAAGTTATATAACAAATTTTATGTTCAAATAGCCAAAAATCCAAAAAAACTGTAAATCCTTGCAAAGAATTCAGGCGCGATAGTCACTAGGCGGGAGGCACTGGTAAACTGATGCGCAATCACCTTGCAACCACACGCTAGGTCGGAACATACGCGTATCAACAAACTCGTTTCCCCGAGGCAAAGTTCGTAACCCGATTCAAATTTTTTGAAGAAATTGGGCTCGTAACCCGAAAAGTTCGTAGAGGGGCATTCGTAAGCCGAAATGTCACCGTAGTTTGTAATACTTGGATTCCTTTTTTATTGCCACCTAGTTCTTGGGAAGCTTCAGTGTCAGGTGAAGAAGAGCTTCCTGGGTCACCTGAGTTTTGCCTGCATGGTTTACCATCTGGTTTGTATTTGGCTGAAATGCTTCAGCTAGTTTCTTCATTCAAAAATTCATTGATGGTACTGGGATTGCTACTTGCAAGTTTCCACTGTTCTTAGGGATCTCCTGCTTAGGAGATTTAATTTGGATACCTTTTGGGTTTCAGCCTTCTCTTTTTTTTTTTACAGACATATTCAACAGAGACTTAGGCTTTATTTTCAGCCTTTATCACACTGGTCAAGGACATTTGATACGCAAATCAACATTTTGGAAATGGCAGTTATTTGATTTACTTTGAAGCACATTTTCTGGGAGGTCTCCTCTGTAGTTCCTCATAGCCATAAAAATTACACGAGGCCTGAGACCAAAGCTGGCCTACTAGGAGCCAAAATCAGAATCTTGGGAATCAGATGCCCTAAATCAGAAAAAAAATAAACAAAACAGAGCAAACTATAGTGCTGCCTGAAGAAGGAAATAAATTCTAAGGCAAACAATGCAAATGATCATTGCTTCTGGTAAGCAGTGATAACTTTGATACACCCGACTACTGTACCACCAGAGGCCCAGGTCACTCAGGGCCTCAGTCATCCTGGTGCACATTAAGAGTGCATCACAGTGCCTGGGATTCTCTGAGCTGCTCTCATTTTGGCTAAATTGTGTTGGCAAATCCTTGAACAAATGGTTCTGTGATGGTCCATTTCTTTATTTTTTGTTCCATTTATGCTAAATGTTTCATAGTTTCCAACTATGTTATGTGTTTCTTGTATTTAATTTCATTCTGGTTGTGTACCAGAGTTACTTTCCTTGGAGGCTGACTTGAATTTTTCTGGTCTGCCATGGATACCTGCTTTGAGGAGTTTGTCCTCCTTCCCTTCCAGTTAGCTCCTCTTTAGTTATCATACTTGCTCTCCACAACAGGGCCTGTTGTTGGGAGATGTAGGTCTGTGCCCTTATGGAGCCATTATTCTGGTAGTGACAGTAGTACATTATTGCCCTTTTTTTCTTGGTGACTGGAGCGGCTTGCTGTAGCCTCCTTAGTATGTACAAATCCACAAGGGCCGTGATGAGGATTCGAACCTGCATCTGAGAGCATCCCAGACGCTGTCTTAATCGACTGAGCTACATGGTAAAAAAAAAAAAAAAAAAAGAGTTGAAATCGAAGTTCTACTGAACTTACTGGATCCTGCAGCCTCTCCGAGGCACAAACCAGGGTTTTACACAAGGATCCAGTACGTTCAGTAGAACTTCGGTTTCAACTCCTTTTACCATGTCATAGCTCAGTCGATTAAGGCAGCATCTGGGATGCTCTCGGACGCAGGTTCGAATCCTCGTCACGGCCCTTGTGGATTTGTGTTGTAGACTATTACTTTGCATTACCTTCCCTTGGGTGGTGTATGTTTCAAGGATTTTAGGAGGTCATTTGAGAACGTCCCAAGTTTGACCTCCTTCCCTCCCTCTTTGCGAGCCTTGTTTCTTTGGGTTTGACATATCAATCCTCCTCTTTCTATTAATCCTTCATAACGGTAAGCAATACTGGCACAGTACTTGCTTGTATGCTGCTCAAATTACCTTATTAAATCTTTTGCTAAATATTTATCATTCAGTGTTGTTAATTGTAAAAAATAAGATATGGTCAGTGGCTAAACTGCGTGGATATTTTGTTCTCTATGTGGGCAAACAGATCCACAGTGAACAAAATAAATAAATGATTTACATGAATTAGGATTTCTGTCATCTCAATTCCATTGTTCTCAATATACTCAGGATTATGCCCTCCATCCATATTCATCACTAATGTCTTTCAAATCCACAAATTTTCTCATTTTTTTTCTTACCAGTTTCATAATCATAATTATTCTATTTGTATATTAAATATTGTATATAATAATGTATATACTCCAAATTTGTAATGTTACTCTACAACTGTTAGCATACACTTAATTATTTAATTTGTAAAAACTGTATATTATGTATTATATTATGTATAATTATACACATATGCACACCCATAAACTTATAATAATTATTTGATTATCAAAGTAAATATAACTTATCAAAGTGAATATAACTTATCAAAGTGAATATAACTTATAGTAATGGTTCCAGATTACAACAATTATTTTAATTATTATATTCACAAAATAACATGCAACATTGTTCAATTTTTTACTATACTATACTGCAATTTATTTAATATCTCTTGTAATTTTT